TCTGCTTCTTCTTCACCAATTTCTTTCTGTTTCATTCTAGTTTGATGGTTGGCCATCTGTGGCAGGCTTTTCGAGTATGCTTAGCGGGCACCTACGTGCATTGTGGAAGTGGTCCATAGCGAGGACAGCCTTTGGCGTTGTTTAGCTAGCGCCGCGTAGTCAGACTGAAGATGGGCGGTAAGGGTGTCTGTGTGTGTGAGAGATTGCTGTGGAGTGCTGGATTGGGGTGAGATTATGATGTAATTGATGTTGATCTGATCGAATCTCGCTAGCTTTTGTGAAGGCTCGAAGGAGCCAAGAAAGGCTCGCTCTATTCCTTGGTTGTCCTTGCTTGAAGCGTGATGCCACCTGTGCCGCCTGAGCAGATTCGGAAGGACGCTCCGTGGGAGGAGGCATCCTATATGTCTCCACCACATGGAACTGACAAGTGGCATGTGATGGATGGGTGGATCATGCGAAGCCACGGGAAACCTCGATCCCGTGGTTTGCATCCATTCCACCGGAGCTTTCCGGGCAAGATTACATCCCTGGGTGAAGTCTGTGTCATCATTGCATTTCCTGTTGGCAAAGAGGAGGAGCGTCATGTCTACATCGATGACTGGAGGCAATGCAATTACCCATTTCCTTGGCAGCACCACTACAAGCAGTGGCGAGGGTATACCTTCTTTCAGTACGGACGTGAGGCAACTTCTTCCCAGGATGACCAGGTGTTTCGTGGAACATCCTCATCACCGCTTCCAGGACCGGCTTGCAACAAGTATGAGAAACCTTCATCTCCATCTTCTTCACCTGCTCCGGGACCAAGTGTGGCAACACCGTCCCCTGACCCTCAGTCAGATGGATCCTTTGAGCTGATTTGAAAACCAGCCAGGCCAGCCAGTTAGACGACAATTCAAAATTAGAGGTCTGCACACTTCGTGACTTTGCAAAGAACGAGTGTGAAAAGAGTTTACTCTGTATATATAATAAGCGACGGCAGTTATAAAGGTCAAAACGCAAAGACTCAAAAGTCTTACTTCCAGGAGTCAGCGCACGAGCACAGTTTCCCTTTGCTTGGAGGACTGTGCCAAGGCATCAGTAGCGGATGAATGTTCCATGAACACTTCCTTCACATTGGAAGTTGGCTCTATGACATCTGATGTCTTTTTGTTTGGCACCATTGAAAAGACAGTTTGTACATGACGTGTTTACTGTGTACTATGCAAGAGCTGTGTGCTATGCCAGAGCATGTCGAAAGGTACAGCTTCAGTAGCGATCGAAACAATACGAACAGTCTGTACATAGTTGAAGTTTGCCTACCTGGTGTCAGTTGAGTGAGAGCACATGCCAGGTTTTTCTTTCCGCGTGTTAGGAGCTATGCAGTGGCTACTTGTGGATGGTCATCCCCTTGTGGCTAATTGAGAGCCGAGCCGTCGGTAATTTGGAACACTGATTGTCAGTCAGTGTTGTTAATTTGGAGCGTTGTGAGTGTTGCTAATTTGGACACTATCTCGACAAGACATGTTTGACAACCCCACAGAACAAATATGTGAGCGTATGTATGAACCTTAGTGTAAACCTGTTGATGGCCGGAATGCTTTACTTTTTGGTACTTGGTTGGAACTCAGACTGCTGCTGTATATACTGCAGAGGGGTTGTGCGTCTTGCCAAAAATAGAGCAGTTGGCCTCGCTGCTGGCCTTCCCACCTTCAAGAGGTTTGAGTTTCTTCTTGAGTATGGCCTGTGAAATCATATGTAACTATTGTTCAATGCATGGGAGGCATGTAAACAGCGGCCATTTGTCAGCTGTGAGTCCTGTTGTCGTGGAGCTCACCGAGCATGCGAGAGACAAATCTACCGTGGCGGAAGTGCAGGTCACACCTTCGTGCTGTCTTTGAGTTTCCTTTGCATTGGCATGAATTTCATTCAACTAAAGGAAGACTGTAGACAATCAGTTGGACAAGTGCGGCATAGAATGCGCACAACCTTTGTTGGATTCACAATGGGCTGCTATTGCTCGCCTACTTAAAGTACTTTTGTTTGGAGCTCGCTGCACGAGTGTTGGTGCAGCCAGGAGTCCCGAGTGTTGTGCGTTGTCGAGTCGTTGCTTTGTTGGCAGCAACTCAATTTTGGACTGATAGTCAGTGCCCTCAGATAGGCGGGACTTGGCCTTTGTTCTCTGCCATGGGTAAAGGCAGGAGGGATGTGAAGGACAAGGCGAAGGACTCCAAGACCAAGTCTAAGGTGAAGAAGGATAAGAAGGAAAAGAAGAAGAGCTCATCCAGCTCTTCTTCGGAGTCTATTGTCGTCGAGGATCCAGCAGTGATCAAAGAAGTGGCTCAAATTGCTTCAACGTTTGGGTTGTGGCTCAGTTGTTCTTAAAGGGGGGATGTGGGGTTGAGCTGCTGGTAAGAGCAATGATGCCTCTTACAAACCTGTTCGATCTATACCTGTCCATCAATCATGTAAAAGTCTGACAAGACAAGATTGTCTATAGTCTATATATTCACTTCTGGCACCCATGGAGCTGCTTTTGTTTAAGAAAGCAAACTTGCCATTCCTGAGTGTCCTCATATTCCTATTTGCTGTGAGGAAGCCGAAAGGCTTGCAGATCACGAAGAATATGACCCGCCTGGCAGACCTCAAGGTTGCCCAGATTGCCTCAGTGCTCTCTCAGGTTCACAGTTGCCTCACCAGCCAATGTCTATTCACCTGTGGTGGCGAATTGGTCGAGATACACAGGAAGAATCTGACATCTCTCAAGGCACATGATGATGGAAGTGAAGCAGGTCTCCGTGCCCGGATCACTGCGAGTCAGAAGCTTCAATGGGCAGAGAAGCGGTGGCGGGATCGGTTGGTGTCACTGTTCAAGGAAGGCAGGGCTGATATTCGGGTGTATAGCGTTGAGTGCACAGTTTTCGTGATCGTCGCAACGCTTCATTCGGTTTATGTTTTGTTTGCGTTGAACTTGCTGGGCGGGTTAGTGCGTGGTGCTCTCCTGTGGTTGGTGAATGGTTGAATTGAATGTAGACCAAAGACGTCCCTGTGAGTCGCTGGTTTGGACAACATGAGCGTGATCAGTCAACACTCCAGCCTGGTAAGCTTGAGGAGGCCTGTGATGGCTTCGTGGTTGGGTTGTTGTACTATACTGCACAGCCTTCACTGTCAAGATTTGTGTCCATAGTATAGGATAGTCTGATGTGTGTGTGTTTGCTTTACATGTTTTAAGTTTACTGTACTCTATACAGCACCCATCTGTGCAGGACCATTGCCAATGAGGTTGCAGCGCATGAGGCGGCTGCTGACGCTGCTTGCCAAGCTGAAGCAGCAGCTTCAGAACTTCAAGTCGGCAGCAGGGGACGACATGAGGGATGATCACAAGCGGCTCCATCGCACGGGTCGCAGTGGGGTGTCTCCTCGCAAGGGGCGGTCTCCTCGCAAAGGGCAGTCTCCTCACCACAACCGGTCTTCTCGCAAGGGGCGCTCTCCCTGCAAGCGGCGTACTTTGAAGCATGGATCTGAGCATCGGTCACATCGCTCAGAAGAGTCTCCTTCGGAGGATAGGTCTCGATCCAGGAAGCGCACTTCCCCCTCGAGAAGGAGGAGTGGAAAGCACGACGAAGGCAGTGAAAGCTCTGAGTCGGACAAGGCGGGGGAGTCTGGGATCAAACTTGTGTGCCTCATTTTTTGATGTGGTTGGAACACTGCTCAATTGCCCCAACATGTCCAGTCTGTAAGATGTTGTAACGCTGCAGTCCGATGGTCTTTTCCGCGGGCGCTTTGCTGTCCGCAAGAGGGAGAAGGAGAAGGCTCAGACGACAAGTAGCAGTCTTTTTGGCAGTACCTTGTCATCTGGCGAGGACCGCTTCCATGTCTTCAAGGAAGAGATTGAGCGGTTCATGGCGTCAAAAGCTGACCAGCACCTCTTCAAGAAGATTGTGGCAGCCGAGGGATTTGTGCCTCGGTCAAAAAACATGACCAACGACGACATGACAAGTTCAATTGTTCTAATGTCTGTCAACAGAACCTAGTACCACGGCAACATTGGAAGTACCAAGGTTCGCTAGTGAAAGAAGGTGAAAGGTGGTTTCAGGTGAGTACTTACTGGTGGAAGGAGTGTTCAAACTGAGTAGTACTACTTATACATACCACTGACTGAAGCAGGATACCCTACCAGGGTTCTCTGAATGTCTGTCAGGAGGATGCGGAACAGCTCTTGACTGGAATGGCTGAGGGCTGGGAGCTTGATGAGACCACAGTTGGCGCCGAGGGAAAGGAGCTTCTGGGTTGTATGACCTGGGTGGGCCGGCGATCAGCTAAGAAGATGTGCGAACGCATTGCTGGCAACATGGACTGGGGTCGGGTGATTCAAATGCAGCGTGATGCAGTTGCCACCTATTGGAGGAACCAATGGAATGTAGGACCCCTCTATCAATCAATAATTCAATAATTGCTGTACATAGAATTCCTACAGGGTCAGGTGAAAGTAGGCAAACATTTGGGAAGCGGGTATCCTTTTGGTGCTGTTTCTGGTTTCAGTTTGCAGGAAGAGTATGGAAAGAAGCTGGGCCTTGAGGGCTTTGAGGAGGACACGGAGGTTGTTGCACCGAACAAAAAGGGCAAGCCTAAGGCTACGCACAAGCAGCGTGAGAGTTCTGAGCGTCCTGAACCCGTCCCGCGGGAATGCCAGAGTCCAACAGAGGAGCTTCCTGGGCTTCCTGAGGTGCCATTGTCTCCCAGTGGCTCAGATTGAGCTGCTTTCCATTTCTTTTGCTGAGCACAGTTCAGCTGTTTGAGCGTCCAGTGTTCGTCAACACTGGCTCAGAAGCCGGCCAGACTTTTGGCCACTCCTGCCACGCTACTAATCTTTACATCGGGGAAGGTCCTGGGGAAAAAGGAGAATTTGCGACGCATGTAGGTAAAGGTGCGTTCTCACCCCAAACAGCGTTCCCACCAACACCATCGTTCTCAGTCCCAGAAGGAGTTGGCAACCAGTTGGTTTGGTACTGGTGGCGTTTTCATCTCAAAAAAGCATGAATTGACGCGGGTGATGCGAATGGGCAGGATTGGGACGAGGAGGGTTTGGAGGCCACATTTGCATTCTCAGCGCAGGAACGTTCTGACGAGAATTTGCGTTCTCATGCGTGCAATGTTGATGGAACAGTTTGTGAACAACATCTGGGGGATAGTTCAGCATCGGAGCCAGGCATCAGGTAGGTCAGTGCTGAAGGATGTGTGCGAAACACAACGTTCTCAAGAAGCACATCGTTCTCACGAAGCCCATCGTTCTCACGAAGCCCATCGTTCTCACGAAGCACGTTGTTCTTGTTTGTTTCATTGACCTTACTCTTAGTGAAACTTGACCAATTGAAACAAAGTAAAATAAGTAGGTGGTGCATGTACTGGCAGTGTCTTCAATGCTGTTGTTGCACCTTTTTTGCAGCCATCCATCGTGCTCCGGTAACAAAGTAGATACGATTCGACGTCCTTAGTATAAGTATAGACAGTTTGACCATGGCGTCTTTGAAGCGCATCCTCTTACCCATTGCGGAGTCGCCAGTCAAGAAATCCCGCCGTGCCCACGTGCAGAAGGAAGACGAACGGTTCACAAATATCAGCCTGTGTGCAGACATCCCTTCTGTGTATCTAGAGCCTGTGCGGTACGAAGACATCCCGGAAGAATGCTGGAGTGATGCTCAGCATTCATTCGATTGCGTGTGCAAGCTTTGCATTTTTGATGGATCGGCATTAATTCAGTTCCAAAAACGACATTGCTCTTGTGTAAAGTGCATTACAGGCCGATAGGCCTTGTGAATTTGCACAGCAAATTGGCAGAGTTCTGACTCTGACTGGGACTAATTCAAAACCAGGCAAAACGACAAAGCTGACGTGTTATGAGTGAGCAGATAGTCTGATAACGTGCTGGTGTCTAACGTGAGCAAATAATATGATAACGTACTGGAATGTTCGGGAGGATGCTGCTTGAGCGTGTTTTCATCATCTATGTTTTCAGACGTGGCTCCATGGTATGTTCAAGTAGATGCACTATCACAAGTTCAAGGGTGACAACGGCTGTTGAGGGCATGACACTTGTGCACATGTGTTGTCACGAGTTCACCTGCTTACTGACTGTGGCTGGTCACGGGGAGACGACTGGCCCTGTTTTCTTGTGTGAGCCATGGCTGAACCTCGGGACGAACCTGAGGGCCCCTCACCTGGGGAAGCTACGAGCGATGCACTTCAAGTCAAGTTGCGGACTCAGGCTGGGGAAAGAATAGCATTATTCCCAATATTGCATGTCATGATGACGTCGTTTCCGAGCCCTTCTTTGTTTCCAAACATTTGCTATCATTTGCCATTTCTGACGCCCCCAGGCCGAATGGACAGAGGAGCTAGAACACCTTTTGCTGGACTTTCCTTTGATCCAGGAAGAGGACGTGAATATGGAGAAACGTTTGCAGTGCCTAGCTTTGTTTCGCAAAGCCGTGTCGCGGAGATGGTCAGAGCTCCTCGCCGTCAAGTCAGGGCTGGGAGAATCAGAATACCACAAACTAGTAGATGATGCCGTGGAACATTTGAACGGCTTGAAGGTGATCCATGGCAAAGACATGGTCTTTGCTCCAGTGCCAGCATGCTTTGCCGCCAAGTCCGAGCAGGTGGACCAGGACGTTGCTGACAAGAAGGGAACCAAACGTCTCTCGTCGAGTGCGAGGTCAACGACGTCGTGCTCCACTAGTAATGAGAAGTACGAGTTCTACTACCTTTGCCAAGAGGGCACTGTGTGGACAGTAATTCAGGTGTGGGGCCGTGAGAAAAACAGGTTGAGAAACAAGCACTAAGGACATTGAAGGTTGACCTTTTCGTGTAACTTCAATGTTCCCTGCAGGTGGAGAACGGCGCAGAGGGGTACCAATCTTATTTGAGCACAGCGGAATGGTACAATCTTCGGACGCCGTTCTCTCAGTGGTACACAAAAAACTGGACTGCTGTTGCGCAAGAGATTGGAGAAGAGTGGGGGATTTCGTCTCGGCATGCTGCTGGACAACACCTGTAGAGTATGGATGAGTATCTTTTATTTTAGTGGGGCCAGGCAATTCTCAAGTGCTTTTGTGTAGCAGTGTAACAATATTACCCCTGTAACAGGGATGACAACTGCTTCCTTTGACGAGACCTCCACTCACGCATGCCTTTTTCAGGTTCTGCGTAAACAGTCCTACAAGGGAAGTGTCTCTTCAGGGTGTGCCACTTTGCCGCTGGATGCCACCACGTGCATGGGCCTACTTCAAGTTCTTGCTTCTATACTACTTGCGCCTGCATTGCAAGCGACAACCATCAAGCAGTGCTTGTCTATCCTTGAGTTTGTGGATGGGTTCGTTCATTTGAACACCACATTGCATCCCCTGGGCAAGCAGGCCGATTGTGTCTTGGAGATCGTGTCCAACAAGCTGAATGTGTCACAGCTGAAGCGCACCTTGCAGAAAGTCAACCTTCCCTGGTCCAGGCTGGTAATGAGCGAAAGTAAAATTTCTTTTTTGTTGTGGAGCTAGACTAGTTCAGGGAGTGGCCCCTGCACATTTTATTGCTTGGGGTGTTATATTCGCTGCAGGTTCGAAAAGAAACTTGTGACAGAAGTTGGTTCTGAGATCTCCGTGGTTGTCTGCCTGCTGGCTCTCTTCCGATTGAGATTGGAGCAGGTCTATGTATCGAATGAAGCTCTGAAGCGTGTAGTGAAGCATCTAGTCCACTCGTGGGCGCAGGCTGCACAGTTGGCAATCGAAGGTGCCATGCGCACGACTTGTCCAGACCCTACTGTCGAAGCAAAAAACCATCCTTATTTGCCTTCTTCCAGAAGAAGAGGGTCGAAGGCCCTCGAGCTGACTTTGATAGAGCGATTCCAGTCCAAGGGCGGTGGCTTTGTCAGCAGCAAAGGTGAGCTTTCGCTTCAGCGCCTGGGTGTGGTCAACAAGGACTCGAATCTAAGCCAAAGAACGAGTTCAGAATATGTGGCCCGGGCTTTGCAGGCCACATCCGAGTTCATGAACTCCTACGTTGAGTCCGCCAAGTTGAAAGTCATCAACTGCTGCATGGATGCCGCTAGTGTTGGTGGAGAGCATGCTTCTTAGCTGTGCTTCAACTCCCACTTCCACCTCCCAACCAGTGTTTGTGCTTCAATCATGTTGATTTAAACTGTCCACCTCAAGTTTGGGGCAGAGGTTGGCTGGACGAAGCAACGACATGTACACACCACACTCAGGTTCTATCAGTGATTCTTCGAATACGAGGGTATCAGCTGGCAGCACCGACGCAGCTCATGCCAGTTGGGCCCGACCCAGAAGAATGCAGGCAAGCAATCGCAGCATTCACTGAGGCTACCAAGTGTCATGCCCAGGCTGCTGAGGGGGAGAAGACGCGGTTGCCGGCAAATAGCTTCCAGTGGCGTCAGTATCGTCAGGCCACCAAATGCTTGTTGGCAGCGTTCGCAAACTCTCTGAGGCATTGCCTACCTGCACAGTGGTCGTTCAAGTCATTGCTTCCGCCCAATTTGCTGGAGCCTGCAGGTCGTCAAGGTGTGAGGGAGAAGTTGCTTGATGAGGAGGCGAAGATGTTTGGGGTAGCTGATGACCGGAAGCTTTTCTTCCGGTACAGTTTCGATTCCCACGAAGCCTGCCCCGACTTTTTTATCCACGAGGACTTCTACGGCCTGATTTTTTCAGCGGACGAGGGAACCGAAGTGCCCTAGCTTTGCTTCAAAGAGTGTTGTGTGAGAATCTTTTTTGGGGCAGTTGTTATGACATGTGTAAATGTGACAGCTTATGTTTTATGTAAATACTGCTGCAAGTGCTTCTGTGTTTGCAGGGGTTCCTGGGCTTCCTCCACCTTGCCAACAACGGGCTCTATTGCTTGTTTTGGCCGGACATCTTTCACAGAGTGTCTCGTCGCGTTGCGCAAGCGATTAATCACCCTTCTTGTCAGGATGCCAAGGACCTTTTGAGACGTTGCACCAAGATGTTCAGGTTTTCCAGGGCTCCTTTTGGCAGTGGCAGATTTGGATCTGAAATGAACGACGCTCGCAAGAAGCTTTTGGAGAGTGTTCGAGAGGGCGAGTGTGAAGAGCTTCTGGAGATGTACATGCACGCGGTTGCGAGGGACCGTGGCCGGCCTGTGGACACGTTCAGCAGACATGAACTGGTTGAGGTGTTGCAGAATGCAGCCCGCCACTCAGCCATTAATAGAATTAACTGGTATGCTTTTGATGCGCTGCGCTGGCCAGTGTGCTGACCAAAGAAGGCTGTGTTTATATTCCTGGGTAGGCCCGATTGAGAATGTCTCATTCTCTGTCGGGCCAATTGAGAATCACTTGATATTCCGCTAGGCCCAATCCATGAGTTTGTTGTCCGTGAATTGATCCCCGAACGAAGTCCTTCATCAAGACTGCAAGTCGGTTGCGGGCCGAACTAAAAACATGTTGAATCTGTTGCACTGACCTCTCATTGATGAGTGAGGCAGTCACCATATCCTCTCTGCAGAATGCAAAGACTCTCGATGGATGTCGTTTCATGAGCACTGCGAGCGTTGGGATTCTCGTTGGCATGTGGAGCTGATGTGTCATGCCTATGCTTGGTTCATGCAGGGCAAAAACCCGTGGGATCTTGCTGGCGCCGGAAGCGATGACTCTCCAGAAAGCACCTTTTCCCACAGGCTCAATGCTTGGAATGTGCCTTTAATGCTGATTTATCTCAATATTGTTTCTTTCTATGTGCGTTTGTTCATATGTAAAAAATAAACCAAGCACTAGTTACTACTAATGTTTTTGGTTAGTGCTGGGGTTTGGAGGTTTGTTCATCAATGATGTTCAGGTGCTCCTGGATGACTCCAACCAGAACAAAGTGAGAAGCATCATCGCAGTGTTCAAGCCATTTCGCCAATTTCTTGGCCAAGCTGAAGCTTGGTCTGTGGCCTACCTTTTGTCATAGGCTTGTAGAGATTTTACGCACCAGGTCCACCAGGGTTTTGTTGTTTGTGAGAAGAAAGGCAACAAAGGTCAGGACATGTCATGACAAGTGAAAGGCGTGAATTTACTGCTTTCGCTATTTCACAGACAGTTATGTTTGTCGGTGTGGGGGTCCCTTTGATGATATTTTCTGAAGTGTTGTTTCAATTGACCACGTGTGTGTAGTGTTGGGGCTGTTCCTGTTGTTGAGAGCGCTGGCTGGCTGTGTATTTGTCAGCAAACCTTGGTTTGTGGCCAAACCACTTAGCGTCGTGAATCACAACCTGGGCATGTTTGGCAGTTTATGGATAGTTTGGCGGGTCGTGGTACATCGTGAAAAAGTTTGTTCTTTTCATGTGCAGTGCAGAAAACTGTTTTCCTGTCCTGTTGTGCTAGCTAGTAGGTGCACAAGCAGGCGCTGGGTGGACTTACAAGACATGGCCTCTCCACTGCAGTGCCTGCGGACCAATGACTATGGGCGCCGACAGACTTCTTGTTCTCTCCTGTCACTCCAACTCTTCCAACCAACCACGGAATCAAGATGAAAACACAAGAACCATGAGATTGTAGTTTGCGGCTTTCTATGAGCCCGAAACCATTTAGAGGTGTCCATGTATGCTGCTCTAGGCTGCTGTCCTTTGGACGAGGCCTCTAGATGTGACGTTTTGTAAGCTGACCAAGGATATGGAGATGCAAAGGAAACCCACGGCTTCGGTTGCGCAGGCTGTCTACTTGGCCACTGGAAGGACTTGCCAAAAGCTTGTTTCGCATCTCGACAGGTAAAGGTGCAATGTCGGAGAAGGTCCCACCAATGGTATGATTTGTTCCAGGAAGTGTTAGCTGAGCACTATGGATTGATTATTCTTTGCTCCTGAAAAAATTAGTAACTAGAGAGAACACTCTGTGATTTCCACAAAGCGGATGCTGGCCGTGAGCCAGGCAAACAATCAGTTCATCTGTTTCTGCTGAATGCTTGCTCCACATTGGCCTTGATAGTGCTGATGACGACGAAAGCCAAGAGCTTTTGCAATTTCACGGGAACCTGTTGCTGTCCGTGCTTGCCAGCATTTGTGATTTGGACCGCTACCATACTGCTTTCCCGTGGAGGTTGGTTGCATGCCTTGACAAGACGTCAGTGCCATCTACGTTGAAGGATATGGCCAGAGAGTGGCAGTTTGTCACTGAATTTGTTGATCAACTGGCAGAGAACGACTTGATTCGCAAGACGCTGATGCACACCCGGTGGCAAGCCTATAGGGACGCAATGTCCAAGGCAGAGTGTCTTGGATAACGAATTGTGCTCCCATACGGAAAATTTCTTTCATCATTGTTTAAATCAACTGTCAGTTGACCAACCGCCTGCCATATACATCTAAAGAAACGTGGAGGATGATTGGTATAAAGTGCAATTGTTGCTTATCTACATGTTGATTTCAGGACAGACTCGTGTTGCGTTTGATTCCAGTCATCGACTCCTTTATGTTCGTACGTTGGTGTGGTGAGGCACTTTGACTTTGACCCGAAGCGCCTGACATCGGATGAGGCCCAGCCCTTCCTCGATACAGTCCGGTGCGTTATTGGAATCACTTCTGAGAAGCCGAATGCCACAGACTCGGTCTTGAGTTCTTTGAGCTGTGAACTGTACTTCAACGATCTTCGAGATGCTTGTCGCAGGCATGCCAAGAAGGAGCGGCAGAATCCAAGCAACTACCATTGCATCTCCATGAAGAGCGTTTCGGTGCGGAACAGTGGTTGCAAGAGCTTCCAGATTGAAGACCATCAATGGCAACATCCAATTCCCCGAAAGCAGATCCAGCAGCAAGTGCTTTCAGCCACCAGGGTCTCTGATCGCACCTTGGGAAATCCAAGTCATGGTTTGACCAAAGCCAAGACCACGGGTCTCACGAAACCACACATCCTCACTCAAAGGCTCGACCTCATGAAGTGCTTGGAGTGCTGTTGGCATGAATGCAGTGGCAATGTGGAGCAAAAGCGTGCAGCGGCCATGAACGGAATGCAAAAGCTGTGGATGTCCAAGTTGGTCTGCGAGCAGGGTTTGATTCGTGTGAAGGGCTCTGACCAGATCAATTTAGTTCTTCGTGCAGGACCTTGGAACGTTCGCATTGTGAGCCTAGTTGGTGACAAAAATACACCTGATGCTTTCTTGCTCACTCACAACACAGACGTGATGACAGTGACCTCATTGGACGAAGTTGAGATTGCCTTAGCCAAGCCTACGATTCTTCAGTGTGGGACATTGGGGTTCCAAAAGGCTGGAGAGTGGATGAGCCTGGTTGCGTACACTGTGACTGAGGATGGCATCTTGGCTTGTGCTGCTCAAACCCTTCAGCGTTTGTGCGCCTGCCTCAAGGTCAAGGGCCATGGTGGCTTGACGCACAAGCTCAGAGTGGAACTGTTCTTGAGGTGGAATGAGTGCAGCGAGGACTTCATCCAGCGCATCCTGGACATGATTCCCGATGTTGTGCGCAAGCGGAAATGTGAAGACGATGCCACTGAGGGGGACAAGGACTCATGACAAAAGACAGGGTCGTTTACTGGGTCATGCACTCCTTTTGTTAATTGGTGCGATTCTTGATATCTCAGTAATGGCCCGACATTTGCGTGATCTTTGTCGGTGCAACTTTGGGGAATAAGTGATGGAGTTTTGCGCCACGCGAGTCGAGTTGCAACATCAGGACATCGTTGTGTGGGAGCAATTGTCCGCTTTTAGCAAATCCATTGTTGTAGAAAACTTGAGTTTCTAGCAGGCAGCTTGTGCTTTGTCCAGATCTTATCGCGCCTGTTGTTTTCTGCAGTCGTGCAGATCAATGATTGATGTCGCTGCTCTTCCGAGGTCTCTTCTTCAAAGTGGGTTTGTATTTTGTTGGCATGTACCTGATGTAGTGGTTCTAAGTTCGACTTGAGCGATTCATACCCTCGAATCATACCTGCGAATCATACCCGTCAAAATGTAGGTGTAAGAACTAGGTGTTCAGGTGCAGCTTTTGGCTGGTCTTTGTGCCTTGTAGATGGCCATGAGCCAATGGTGCATGACGTGTCCAATCTTGTGATTCACAGGGCCAATTTTGTAGGAAGGGCAATGGCTCACATCCCAGGGTGCCCTCGTTGGGTAGAAGATCCACAGGATCGCCCTTCTTTTGCAGAATTTCATGGCCATACCGAATCAAACCAGATTCATACCAAACCTCTGGCCTCCACACACTCCCACCCGTCCACATCCCTGATTGCTTTGGTGGGGCATGCAGAGGGCCACTGGTGGTGCCTTTGGCATTTGGTGAGGTTTGGTGTCTTTGGTAGAAGATTGCAATTGCTTGGTCTGCCCAGCAACCAACAGATACTGCTTGCTTACTGCCTCACGGCGCAGGATGTGGGCCCATTGCTGGAAGTCCAGTCAATCCAACAACACAATTCAAAGCTGACAATCATACCCTCGACTCATATACCACCTATTCAAACTTCCCGGCCCCACTACGGTAAGCATACACACACCCAAGTGTTGTTGGCATTCACGTTGTGAGCAGAACCATAAGTAATGATTCTGATAGTTTATATGTTTGTTAGTTCTTTTAATGTTCCTTCTTTGTGAGGCGGCCATGCTTAACCCGCCCCTGACCACGTTGTTTCAACCTGCTGCTTCAGGCTTGCGCCGCTTCCCGAATACTATGTTTAGACATTTTGCTTGGCGGTGGGCAGTGGGGTTTCAAGGCCATTCAAGACTTACATGTCTAGCCTTGGCTGGGAACACCTTCACGGATTCCCCATTTCTACACTATTCATTCCTTCTCTACTCCTGAACTTCACTGGACTTGTTATCTCCGTGTTTCATCTTGCCCTGAGTAAAATGAAAGTACACGCAAAAGGGAGCAATTTAGGTTCATGAAGGCTAGACAAAAGCGAGTCTGCAGGCACCTCTCGGATCCCTACCCACAGCCGACGTTTTTCCAACACCCACGGCGCACATAGTACCTTTTGTCTAACTGGTTGTTCACAAGACCGTCTGAGTCAGACTGTTTTTGGCATGCTGCTTTTGGAAGACCTCTGTCTCTCACTAGTGACCTTAAGTCAAGTGACTATGACCCGGTCCGATGTTTGGGACTTGATCATTGACCTCATTCGGGCTTTGTGTTTGAAGCGTCAAACTGTTTCACCGAACGCTGATTTATGCCAGTTGGAGAGGGGAATCACATTTTTTGAAGTATTTGTTGTTTCGTGAGGAAGAAGACCGCTTAGAGGGGCAGTCTGAAGACGAGGAAATGAACGAGATTGTTGACTTCTTGTTGGGTTCGAAAACACCTGACGATGCTGAAGGTGATGGTCAGCAGGTTGAACCAGCGGTCAATGAAAAGAAATCCACTGAGAGTGTTGCCGAGCTTGATGGAGAGACTAGAAAGGACCCAGCTGCCGATGCTGCTTCCGTTACTGGGATGACTTTATAGACTGCCGAGTGAAGATTATCAATGATAATTATATATATCACTATATATATATATACCCTTCGATTGTTCCACCTCTTTCTCCCTTTTGTGTGCAACTGTTAAACACAGTTCAACACTGTGAGGTTCGTGCTGACGCAGATGGAACGCATGCGCCGCATGTTCCCCGCGGGCGACCGCAGGGGAGCTTTCCGCCAGGAGTCAAGAGCTACTTCGGCAGTCCGCAGGGAGCCTCCCCCTTTGTCCAAGTCTATTTGCCGACTGGATTCTTGCATTTGGGCAAGAAGTCCAAATGTTTGAGCTTTGCCGATCCTCAGAGCAAAGATGGGAACAAGCGCTCAACTTTGAGATCCCGTGAGGCTGCGTTGCTTGGAGTTCAAGCCTTTGCGTGGGACTGGTATTCCTCTTTGACAGAGATCCAAAAGAGTTCGATCGCAGAAGCAGACGCTGCAGTTCAAGAGCGGCCTTTGAAACGTGCCCGTTTGTAGATACTGTTTTCAGTTGGGTAGTGGTGCTGTGTGACTAAGAAGTCCAGTGCGCCTGGGGAGCCAAAGGCTAGATGGAAGTTGTGGCCTTTGCAGAAAAACATTTTGCGCTGCCCGTGGAACAGGGCCTAGGTTGTGTGAAAGAATAGTATATAGCTGTATGAGAAATAAACATGTGGGAAGGTTTCAGCTGACATGCGCTCTGCTTCTCAAAGGAGCACTTGAGTAAGGCAACTACTTCACATCCTTTCCTCTTGTTTACATCTAAAAAAACATAGAATTGAAACAGCTACTCGGAATGAGCGTGTTTGGATTAGAAATTTTGGTAATTTTGGTCTTAAATTCGGAAAATATAAATCCATAGGTAGAAGAATTTATCTTGCTTATTTTGTGTTCGGCATGATGGTTGTTATAGGTATTTTATGTTATGATTAAAATATTATTATTACACTAATATGGAAGATAAAGCATGATACGAAGCATGGACGTTAATGGGTTCCGACCAAATTTAAAACCCATTTCGATATAAACGCATAAAATATAGCTTTCGAAGAGCTTGTAAGAAATCTTTCTCTTACGGGTATATTTAGTATAGGGGCAAAGAATTTTAACCAATGAAGGTATTATTCCGATGGAAATAAATGATTATGGATGAATTCTGTCATCGATTTATTATGATTTGCAAAAGAATTTTATTATAGCTACCATCCATTGAGGCTATACGTGTGTTTTGTTGGAACGCTTCTCAAAAGCCTTTATTTGGATGCATGGGTTACATGGTGCTTTAACTAATCATATGAGATGATTTTGATCTAAGAGACCGATTGGACCCTTAATGGATGTTGGATTGCACCTGGTTGGTATTTAATACATAGTCGTACGGGACGAATTTCTACCCTTTGTATGGTTCGTAGTTCCTTATATACCATTTCTAATACATTAGGTTGCATTTGATGCGCATTTATGACGTGTTCAATATCTATTAAATAGCTTGGAATACCACTAAACCTAGAAAGACATTCCTCCAGGAACGAACCTTGGTTTGGAAATCTCTTAAAGAAATAATTTAATATATCCCAAGGAATTACATGTTATAAATCGCAGGTAATTATAATATGCCTATGAACGCCGCACCACCTGCCATTGATTTACGTGATGTCAACTTTGGCTAGGTAGCCCAGACAGATAAGCATGAATTTTAAAATTTGATCTAGGAATTTGAACTCTGTATACCTCACTGTAGGGGCAAATGGACCCCCACCTTTCGACACGGTACTCACTCCATTCGTATCGACTTCATACTTCTTAGATCTCATCAACACCAAGGGAGCAGACATAATGCTAAGATTCTCATACAATTCGAACGTACCTTCAACACTGAAGGACCCCATTATCACCCATTGGTTCTCTCATTACCTAGATGGTTCGCTCTACCTCGACGTCTTCCCAATCAGGTTCTTATCGATCGACATCGCTTGAGGAACGATTTTCAGCACCAGAACGAGAATTGGCAACTCTTCGAAAACAGGATGCAATATATGTTTAATCAGGTGACCAATCAGCCTGCATCCACAGCGATTAATACATGTATGTCAGTGGAACAATAAATCAAAGACCTGTGTATTATTCATTTTGCAAAACATCCCGTTGCTCGTTCGATCTGTCCCCAGGTACGATCCATGAGCGCACAAATGTGGTTTGCACGTCGAAAGTTGATGAGGCCTCAACCATGCACACTTCAAGCACTGTTCGACAGCTGGAAACATGTCATTACGTTTGATAAGCTGCATAAATTCATTCGTAAACAAAGTTTTATCAATCGTAAGAACAGACTTGAGATTTTTCTCCAAGAAAGTGTGCCGCTTATCCTCCAGAATTAAATGCATGAATGGTATAAAAGAATCCGTACCTTGTGTCCCAAGCAACAGCTCCGTCGCACCAAATGTTTGATTACTATGGAGCTCCAATGTCTCAAGAACAGGAACTTGACAGATTCATCACCTATTTTCGAATTTTGTTCACGGATGTTCACACTCCACTACCTCATCCCCCCTCAATTCGGACCCTGCCATTCACTGAGGCGGATGTGCAACTGGAACTTGAACGTCTTCCCACCACCAAGGCTTTGGCCCCGGATGGATTCCCGGCCCTGGTTTGGAGACATTTTGCGCAACAACTGTTCCCCATTGTTTTTGGATGCATTCGTCAAGCCTGGACTGCCTCCCCATATATTCCACCCACATGATGGTCGATAGGATGGCTCCATCTCATTCCAAAGCTCAATAAGACCCCCAATAAGCCTGAAGCATTGAGACCCATACCCATTTGTCTTCAACACCCAATCAACAAAGTCATGTCCGGTCTCCATTGTCGTTTGCTCCATCAGCACACCTATCCTTCGCTTAGGAAATTGCCACTGTACGCATACATGGCACACCGGGGAACTAAGGATTGCCTATTGACCATCTCTCATCATTGCCGATTAGTGAGAGCATTGTGCACGGATCACTGCAAAGACCCATCGAAGCAGGGTGTGTGGGGGGGGCATCCAAGTTTCGTTAGACATGGAAAAAGCCTTCGACGCCACCAGTAGGTCCATGGTCTCCAGAGCACTTCATGCCTTCGATATCTCCCCGGACCTACAAAATCTTGTGCATTCGTGGCTGGCCCCCCACCAGTATTGCGTTTCACATAAGGAGTTGGTTGGCAGATTCCAGCCAACCGGCGGCATTAAGTAGGGATCTAAAGACGCCTCCATATTTTGGACACTTTGTATGTACCTCATCCTGCAGGGCCTATTGGCCCAATATGATCATGCTTGGATTGTCAATCACATCCTCATCTTGGCCGGACAACGGAGAATTTCCCGTCGGTGGTTCAAGGCATGAGTCAACCTATTGTAGTGTTTTTGCAGTGTGTTCCACGGTGGGTCAAGTCCAAACGAAGTGAAGAATTCGTTGGTCGGAATTCTGGTGAGATGTACAGGTGCATGGGCCATCGATCTATGATGTGTATTTATTATGCCAATGATGGCTTGACTGCTTTGAGAATTCAAACCCATCTCAAATACTCCATAAAGAACAATGGGCAAAATACACTGGTTATACAGACGAATCCTAATTTTGATGTCATGATGCCTATCGAGAAGTCACCTGCGGAGAATTCGATAGCATGTTTGAGCAGCAACGATTCTGCGTTTAGCCGTGTCTGCGTCCCATGTCCTGTAGCTTATGATGGTACTTAAATATGTTGTTTTGTTTACGAGAGGTACTGTCAGATTTGTGTCCGGCAAATGCAGCACAGGGCCTGTTGTAGGCCTGCTTGTCCAGCGTCGGAGAAATTGATTCAACGACTTGCCAACCAGGCGAGTGAGAGCCACACTCTTTTGCTGATTAATGCGGAGCCCATAAGCACCAAACACCCGGAACAAAAATGACATGTCATGCATTGCAGCAAGGCCTTCACTTGGCGAGGTGACGATCCATCTGAGGTGGGTATCATCTGCATGCTCAGGCACCGGCTCTCAGATGCCCTGAGTGCTGACGATCGTTGACACAGGCCGGTTCATACAAACGCCACCTAAGGGAATACCACCAAATCCCTTCTCTCCCGGAAGATCTCCACCAACCTCTCAGAGACACTTTAGCAGGTCATCCCACTTGCAGCCACTGCTTGCAAGCTTTCACTGACTTCTACAGATTAAGGGATCACATCAACAAAAGAGTCTGTTTGCTGTTTGACTCTACCAAGGACACGATCGTGCCGATTTGTGAACGCCCAGATCTTCGTATGCATCTCAGATACAAAAGCATATCTGGCTTGATACTCAACAAGGCACTCACAAGTGAGTTGGCACACCATTGTGCATATTGTCACAATGCCATAGCTGCCCGGTCCATCAGAGGCCACTACAAAGATGCCCATCCACAGCTCTTGGCATATGAGTCCCTGCACAGGGACCGAGTGCATGGATCAGCACAACTTGGTTCAGGAAAAGGCCAGTGTCTCCTCTGCGAACAAACCTGCAACAACGTGCAACGCCACCAGTGCGGGGTATTGTTTCAAATCAATGTCATGCTAGGACAGACATATGATGCCTCTCACTTCCCAATCATGCCGATTATGATTCATGCCATCCCAGCCAACTCGAACGATGCAGATCGATCGACACCCCAGCCGAATCAGCCGAATTTGACTCAGAAAGATTTGCCACAAGCGGCTCAGGTCGACTTGATTCAAGCCCCTGCCCAGAGCTCCATGTATGGGACTAGTGGTCCTTCAAGTCTGCACAAGTGCACCCAGTGTCACATGGCATTTCTCTCGGCCACAGGACTCCTTCAGCATATGCGAGAGTATCATGAACCAGATATGTTTGACGCCGGTCCCACCTCGCTGACTCAGGTGCCCAAAAGACAGAAGACCTCCAGAACGGTTCAGCAGATGCTCAGTCTTCCGACCTCAGGACCGATCCCTGAAGCGCCCAGACAATTTGAGTGTCCCATCCATCTTGAAATCATTGGTCGTAAAGCCTTGATCAGACACCTGCGTCGTGAACATCAAACCACACATGTCGGTGCTTTTGCTTTTGTCCCCGACCAGGACATGTTTCCAGGTAGTTTGATTTGTCGTCATTGCTATAGCACTTTCACCATGGAACAAGCCTTGATTACCCACTTCAAAAGGGGATCGTGTCCGATTCTGACATGTCAATGGGCCAAAGCCCAACACTTTGGAACCCTGACCATTGCAGTCCAAGTCCACTCCATGCCAAGAGTTGATCACAATTTGCCTGCACTGTTGCACAGTTATTTCGAACTCAGCCATGCCGGTCGTAAATTTGACCCAGAGACTCGTCTTGCCGCAGACCTTGTCAGTCCATGGTTTCCAATGCTGTATACACTACAGTGGACGCCTTTGCACTGTGTGACCTGGTTCAGATACACGACAGACTGGATTTCGCACTTTCCTGAACTGCCACACACTTGCTTTCAGACAGATCAGGTGTTTGCTGTCATTCAAGCTCTTGGACATCATCCACCAATTGTTTGGGATTGGACCGACACGGAGCGGTCACCACGACAGCAATGGC